ACACACACAAACACACACACACACACACACACACACACATATATATATATATGTATACTCATACATGTTGGTGTGTTGATTGTATATGTGTATAATCACATAAACGTACTACGTTTTGGACCTATATGTTTACCTTAAGGATGGCACTGATATATATATATATATATAAAGATGAATATATTGATCTCTACCCTATACTCACAGGTGGTACGATTAGGCTTCCTGAACACACCGACCTGGGTACGTCGTATTGTCCGCACAGACTTGGAAGCCAAGTTCACCAGTGAGGAGAGGGCGGTACACACGGGCACCCCAATAACCAGCACTGCTTATAGGACAACCATGCACCCACAGCCCCAGGTTCCGGGACAGCTTCAGCCCAGAAATGGGTCTACAATGCACCTGATTGATACACCTGCCTCGGCCATACCGCTACCTCTGACAGGAGTCTCCGCCGAGATTGCGCAGGTGTGAACCCACTACTCTTGTGTAGTGTGTGTGTGTGTGTGTGTGTGTGTGTGTGTATGTATGTGTATGTATGTATGTGTATGTGTATGTGTATGTGTGTGTATGTGCGTGCGTGAGCATACACGGTGTGTGGCGAGCGTTTGAACATCGTTTGAACATTGTGCGTGCATATGCATACGCTTGCGTATATGCGTGTGCATGTGAGTGCTTGAGGGCTTGTGTCTATGAGTGAGTGCGCCCAAAGATTGCCCTTGTGGTCGCAGGACTCATTCTGCCCAGACCATTTCAGTAGCACCAACAGGCATGGTGCCACCTGCAATCTAGGCCTTTGCGTATGCTCTTACTATCTGCGAATCGTCTCTGAGCATATCAATGTGGAAGAAGTGTGTGACTTGTAGAACAAATACATACACTCTAAACCCGATACCCTAAATCTTAAAAAAACCGTAAACCCTAAAGAACACAACCCAGCGAAGTGTCGCCCTGTGGGCTCAGCTGTAGCCACAGATCCTTGCACCTGCGTGTTGTTCAATTGGTCGTCTATCTGTGTATCTGTGGCACGAGTGTGCACTCACAGAGTCCTAGTAGTGCAATTCTAGTATGTCATTGGTTCTATTTATAGACCGGAGCATGTACATGCCATTCACACCAGCAAACACCACCAATTACACACCATGCCAGTTGCTTTCCCTGGGGTTGCGCTTACTGAGCCTGGCCAGTTCATATTTCCAATTTTAGAAGTTTTATTTATAGACCGGGACCGCTACTGTTTGTCATGTTCTACCGCAGATTACATCCGTGCAGGGAAACGCTGTCAGTCGCAAACCATCGCACCGACTGTCGCTGGGGCATAGTGCCCATAACGCGAACAGCCTGCCTACGCACGACGAGACCAGTGCGTATCTGACCTTCTACCACAAGCCGCTACGCCGCATGCTAGTGGTGTATGAGAGGTATGCCTGGGGATTAGCATGTGCATGTGCTTGTGGTATAAAAGTATGGGGGGGGGTTGAGCATATGAGAAACATGTATTGTGTTAATGATATACATATATGTATCTGGGGGAATATCGGGAGGTATGGCGAAAGAGTTGAGTATATGAGAAACATGTATTGTTTTCATGATGTAATACAAGTATCGGTTTGTGAGAAGTGTGAACGTATAAATGTTTCTCACAGTGTTGTCTGCGTGTTTCCTACGCACGGCGGCCAGAGGCCTAGTTAGCCTCGTGCCATAAGATGTTACGATCACTCGCTGGTCGTATCTGTGAGGTACGAATGGGTTTAGTAGACGTCAACACTGCGTCTATGCAGTAGAAGAATGTATGTGTACGTGTTTGGTGATAGAGAGTGTGTCTGTGTGAGACATATCCATGCGTTTGAAAGGATGAAGTAGAGCTTAGCACTGCATCTACGTATTGGGAGAGTTTATGTGCACGTGTATGATGTTAGAGAGTGTGTTTGTGTGGGGCATATACATTCGGTTGAACGTTGACGCTGCATCTATGCATTAAAAGAGTGCATGTGCACGTGCATGGTGTTGGAGAGAGTGTTTTTATATATCGGCGTGTATGGGATAGGAAGTGTGTCGTGTATGTGGATGATATCTAGTATTGGGCGATTGCTGAGCATGCTGCAAGTTTATTAAAATATGAATGACGATAGAAAAAGTGTATGGGACGATAATACATCAGAGTGCATGAGTTGGGCAGGTATGAGTGTGTCTGGCGAGAGACTGGTTGTTATGAAAACATGTGCTAGTTCGTGCGTGAGAGTTGTTGTACATGTGTTTGTGAATTGTGATGGTGTGTGCCGATGATGGTGGTGGGTGTGCGTGTGAGTGGAAAATATGAATGTGGATATATCTGTAGTTGCAGCGAGTAGGTGTACGTGTGTGTCTGAGTGTGGGGTAATAAGTTATGTGTGCGTTTGTGAGGCAAACACTGGTTTGTACTAAAATCGGTTCTACCACTGTAATCATACCAAATGGGGTGCCCCAGAGGAACTTAGGGTTTCGCACACCCATACAGACATGTACGCTTGACATGTACGTTACCTAAGCTCGTTATATTATTGTGTTATTATGCTGTCCTTGTTTGTAAGTTTGTTTTAGGAGTGGTCTCATACCTATACGCCCATGTACGCTTGCCTAAGCTCGTTATATCAATATGTTACTATGCTGTCTTTGTTTGTATGTTTGTTTTAGGAGTGGTCTGGACGAGAGTGCGTCGATACTGCCCAATCTGCACCCCCCACCGTCGGTCGATTCGTCGCTGCCATCGCTCAACAACAGTCCTGTCGCGAGCAAACAGGTGCGTGTCCCAGGGTGTCCCAGGTGCACGTGTTTGGACTCTTCGAAATTCTGTACGATGTACATAAGTGTGTGCAACAAGTGCTTATGTTTGTGTTTTGCACCCGTGCCACGGTGTAGCAACGTGCCTCTTCGATATCGTTAGGAGACATATATACATTAGAAGTGTATATCATGGCATGTGTGCACGCATTGGTGTGCCAGTGGCGAATGCCGGTCCTATTTCTGGCCAACAGGTACAGTTAGAGGTGCATACAGTAGCACTGATACTCACGACAGTGCCTAATGTGAGCAACTTCAGCAGTTGAACTCACTAACCAGAGAGCACGTGTGCGGGCTGAGAATGTCCTTGTTTGGCAGCGTGTTCTATTATAAGCTTCTATAGCGTATGATTGTTTGTTTCCTGTACCTATCCTCACCTCACATAGGTGGCCGCGCCTTCTACTTCTGTCTGTCTCATAACATGTGGTCGCCCGTTGTCTCCTTCCTCGGGAATCTCTCCCTTCCCAATGGCTTGTACTCTTACACTGAGACCCTGTCGCATTCGTGTCTGTTAGCGTGTGCATGTATGCGCGTCTGACATTCTCGCCATTCGCCTTTGGATCCGCTTTGTCTGTTGCTTTGCATGTGATTGTGGCTACCTCTTCGTCTGCTGCTTTGCGTGAGATTGTGTACGCCTGAAGGTGCCACAACGCAGCTGTCCTGCGTGGCTTTATATTTATCGTACGATAGCAAATGACCCGTTGCCTTGAAACACAATCGTCCCATCATTTACACACATCTCCTCCCCGCTAATCCAGTCCAGTTCTATTTATAGGATGTTCTATTTTTAGCTCACATGCATTCCATATATTCTTCCTTCTGTCTGTCCAATGGTGTAGAGATTAGGAGTAGATCGGCGGCGCCATACGTTGCAGCATCACATGTCGCTGCGGTTTAAGCCCCGGAGTCTGAAGAGTACTCCTATTTCCATATTGGGACTGTTTTTAATACATCGGCGGTGGGTATGGATGATGCCTCCTGAGAGCGAACGGAGCTCGCTTATACCACTGAGCAGCACTCTTGTTCAAGAGTCCATACTCAAAGAGTAAGTACCAGCTCTGCGAGTGGACCTTAGCCATCTGATTTCCTGCTCTGGGCGACGGCGGAACGACGTAGTGGTCCAACGATAGGGCCCGTGATCAGAGATAGACCTCGTTTTATCTGACTAAATATATGTCGTTCTTTAGTAGTGAGAAGATGTTATACCTATACGTGCCTATGCTTACATAGACACAAATATATGGTAGCAAATATATAGTAGCCACTTGATATCCAGAAGTTTCATATCCATGTATAGTAGTCACCTCACTCACACTCTGACTGTTCCACCTACCACGTACCCAGGCGTCTGAAAGAGGGGTTTCAGGTGCTGATGTCCGACAACGGGGTACATCTGCTTGCGCTCGAGGTAACTATGGTACAGGCTGCGCACGAGAACGGCATAGATGCAGACACGCTGTCGAATGTCCCGGGAATGCCTGGAGAGGAAGCCCACGTGCACACCAACGCCAGAGGAGAGGGCTCGTGTGCGGATGGCAAACGCACCACGTGTGTGCTGCAGTTTATGGTGTTCCCGCAGCCGAAGCACAACAAAGTGGTGACGGAGCTTTGGCTCGATCCGCAGGTATGTGCAGAGAAGGAGTGTATGTGCTGTGAAGAGAGTTGTGTGGGTGTATGTGGGTGTAGTATCCTTGATCCACAGGTATGTTTAACGACGGGGTGTATTTTCTGTGAAGAGAGTTGTGTGTGTGTGTGTGTGTATGTGGGTGTAGTATCCTTGATCCTCAGGTATGTTTGAAGTAGGAGTGTATGTGCTGTGGAGAGAGTGGTGTGTATGTAATGTCGTGACCTTGATCCTCAGGTAGTCCATAGTGTTGTGGATGTACAGGACACAAGGAGGAGTGTGCGCGTATCCGTATTTATTTAAATCGGGTTACAAAGAAAATGAGATGGGTTTGCACAATCAGGATGTATCCTGTTTATTTACTGTCGACTGTAAAGTGTATATATTCCGTAAAGTTTATATTTTCTGTAAAGTATATAGATACTGTAAAGTATTTATATACCGTAAAGTATATTTATTCTGTAAAGTATATAGATACTGTACGGTATATATATTCCGTAAAGAATATATATCTGTAAAGTATATAGATACTGTAAAGTACATATGTTCCGTAAAGTATATAGATTCTGTAAAGTATATAGATTAATGTAAAGTATATATATACCGTAAATTTTATAGATCCTGTGAAGTATATAACTTTGTAGTGTGCGCCGAAAACAACATCCTATCATACAAACGACATCGTCAACTACAACTGGAAAATGGTCTGTAATTGTGCACAACCCTACTGCGCTGAGGACTGTCTGTCGCACTTGTTGTGTATATGGCGAGTTGGTCGAGTTATCTTTCAAACAAAATACTTTAGGGTTTCCACGAATTATTTGAAGGGCATCCGATGAGTCATACAAATATTGATATCTTTGTCTATTTTCTTCATGGCGTCGCTAGGCAGGGACTATCGTAGGTTGCCATGGCAACCTCGCCTATCTGAACGGCGCAAGCTACCAAGATGCCCATCCACTGATGCATGCAAAGGATCAGTGCCTGGTGAGCTCGTTGCTGATGTTCGATTACATCTACAGCCAAATCTCCAGGTATGGGGCTGGAAACTTCTATCATGCATACAAATCAAATACACGCGGCTCTAGAACTTAGCGTGTATGTACGGATGAGAGACCATTTTGTTATGTGTATATATCGAACCTGAACGTACACACTCCTCAATGGTGTACATAGCGGCTAATCCATACATGCACTGTTTGCCCAAATGAACCATCCACTCTGAACCCACGCAGGCCACAGTATTCAGGCTGTACCAAATGCTGCGTGTCACGTATATCCAATCAGATCTGCCTAGAAATCCATGCCTGCGTTGCCATGTAGATTTCTTTAGGGGTTTAGGGTTTTGGGTTTAGTTGTCATGTGATGACATGTAGATTTCTTTAGGGGTTTAGGGTTTAGGGTTTATCTATCTGTTGCCATGTAGATTTCCGTAACCTGCTTCTCCTTCATTAATCCTAAGTCACATGTACATCACATTCTATTGCTAAGTGTGTGCCTTAGTGCCTTCGGAATTCAAACAGCATTCAATACAGAACCATCTATTTTTAATGTCACGTAGTGTTAGTTTATAAGCCATTCACCATTGTTTCAAGTAACATTCGCTAACCTACATCACCATCCACTATCCGTTTGTTTGTGTGCGTGCAGGGGCCTACCACTGGTGACTGAGCGTCATCGCGCCCGAACTCAGAGTGTAAGTGCAGAACCCGTCTGTCACAAGGTAGTCTGTTCCGTAGACTGCGCACAATGACCGTGAGATTGGTGTTTGTTTTTTGTTTGTTTCTTAGAAGGTGCCGTGTATACATACCAATACGAGTATATAGCACACACGGGCACACTCTTCCTAGCCATTGTCCTTAACCAAACCTCTCTCTCTCTCTGATGCCTTGCGTAAGCAGAGTTCTGCAGCAAACGTAGCTCACGAAGCCGCAGAGCAGAATGTGCCGTTCACCTTTGACGTCGATAAACTGCTGCTCAGTGGCATGCGCTGTCTGCTTACGCTGCCCGTCTTAGAGGAAGACTCGCACCAACACACACACCAACACGCACACACATACACACTCATGCCCACGCGCACACACAACGGACACTCACACGAGTACGGCTATTCACACACACACAATCTCGGGCGGGTGGGATCGCCGAGTGCAGGACTGCCCAGCGGAGATAGCGACGGCACCTCTGGCAACAGAGTCAGTCACGTGGCACGGTACATACGCGATGGCTACCAGACGGTGGTAGAGGAAACAGGCCAGTTCATACGACACCCTCCCACGGGCCACCGACTGTCGCCCATCCTGCTGCAGGAAGGGGAGAGCGAGACACTGACGCACACACACACCTTTCCGAGCATGTACACACACACGCGCAAGCAGTCACACCCCCACACGGCCCACGTGCACACCGACCTACACGCGCACGCGCCTATGTACACACCACCGATCGATGAGATGAGAGAGGCCTTGGGTGGCGCCGCGAGCGCGGAAATGCCACAGATGGACTCGCGGGAGCAGTCTAAAAATAGAACAAACACGTGTGCACTGCCCATGCTGTCGGACACCAACGCGGCGCTGCAGGAGAGTCTGTCGCAGGCGGTGGCGCATATGTGTGAGACGGAGATTGAGCTGAGCGATGCCGAGACCACTCGGCTGTTTGAGTTCTTCTACAGGTGTGTGTGCGGTGGTTAAGAGTGTATGTTTGTAGCCAGAATGTCATGGGGTGTATGTGCATGTATTTGTTGTGGCTGATATTAGAGCTGTTTGAGTTTTTCTATTGTCATGTGGAGTGGTTAAGAGAGTGTATGTTGACATATGTGTAGCCAGAGTATCATGGGGTGTATGTGCATGTGTCTGTTGTGGCTGATATTTGAGCTGTTTGAGTTGTTCTATTGTCATGTGGAGTGGTTAAGAGAGTGTATATTGACATTTGTGTAGTCAGAGTGTCAAGGGGTGTATGTGCATGTATCTGTTGTGGCTGATATTAGAGCTGTTAGTGTTTTTCTATTGTCATGCGGAGTGGATAAGAGAGTGTATGGTGACATGTGTGTAGGCAGAGTGTCATATGGTGTATGTGCATGTATTTGATTTAATTGTCAGGATGTGCAGATCCGGTTGCGATCAATGTGTACCAATATATTTTTCTAGGCAAGGTAGTCGCTTTCGATATCGACATCGAAGCAGTACTCCAGGTGCTCTCAATGACTGGATAACAGAAGGATAGGCACGTACTACCTCTAGACGATGACTTCTGTACCAAGACTGGCATATACTGAGAAACGTAATGGAACCCTGTACTCTTTACATGCTGAAGTTTAAGTTTAGGTTTTGGGGGTGGAATGTGATTGTATTGCTGTATCGGGGGCCTAGTATTTAAGTTGTGATGGGAGTTTGCTTTGTGCTAAGGACATGCGCTCTGGCAAGCGAACGTTTCACCCGCGGGAGGAACATATCAGATAGTTATCGTTACGTTTACAATAGCAGCACAGGAATCGTATTCTGAACGTTTATTTTCTTCTTTCTTCATTTACTTCTGGTTGCGTTGATTTCTCTTTCCCATACTCATTCCGTTTGGATATCGTTTGGGTGCAGGTACAAACGGCACCTGAACGAACTGGAGCATCAGAGGGGCGAGCACGACCACTTTCGCAACACACCCACCCCAGCACATGCACCTATGTACACACACACACACACGCACACGTACACGCACACACACACACACCAAGCGACCTATATGAATGCACAGACAGGCGCACACACGAACACACACACACCCACAGCAGCGACAGACGAGTCACTGCATCCGTCTACGTACACAACGGAGCATGTGCAAGCACGCACGCCTACGGTGAAGGCTTCTGAAGAGGCTACATCAGAAACCGCGAGTACTCATGCTTCACACCAGCACCACACCCACCCGCACGTATCCAAAGACATACACTCAAACACACAACAACGCGCAAGTATGGATGGCAGTACGTCGGTTAGTGATGATGAGGGCCTACAGTTTGTCAGCAAGGACGGAGAGATGGACACAGCCTCGATGACGGAAAGAGGCGACGAGAGCAAAGATAGAGATGCAGGGACAGATAGATATACCCACACACCCGAATATCTGGAGGAGGAAGCGCTGAGAGGCAACTCTCCCGACGCACAGGATGACATAGACTGCGGCGCGTGTCTGGTGGTGTTGCCTTACGACTTCAGGTACGAATTAGGTTATGCGTGATTGGACTGGGGCATATATATATATATATATACATGTGTATGTACTTCACTGATAGCTTTGTTTGTGCAGGGTGATGTATTGTGTATATATACATTTGTATAATTTACTGAGTTGTTGTTGTATTATATTTGTATATACAAGTGTATGTTTTACTCTCTCTCTCTCTCTCTATATATATAGATATACATACATACATACATACATTCACATACACACACACACACACATATATACTATTTATACAGTGC